CAAGTATGCCGTGAGCGGCGCGACGCGAAGTGAGGCGCGCGGAGGAAGTGGTGAGATCGGTCGGTTGACGGCTACGTCGGTCGCGCTCGGCTGTGCCCGATGCGTGCTTTCTTCGCAAGAATTCCACAGCCGTGCCGCTCGTTCCCCCTTTCCTCCGCCGCCGTCGCTGCTGCCGTCGTCGGCGGTCGGCTGGCACGACGTCGAACGAACTGACGTCACGCGCGTCAGCGTTACGCGTAGCGTTACGTAAAAACGTGCGGCTGGCTGCCTGGCTGGCTGGCTGGCGAACTCTACTCGGTGGAGCGTGTCGCCGCGTTGCGTTGTGTTGCGTAGCGTTGCGTAGCGTCGTAGCGAGGCGTGCATTCGCATAAGCGGCACCCTGCATGCCACGTCGACCTAAACGCGCTCCTTCGCGACGATCACGCCAGTCTTCTCTAACGGAGATCAATAATTTTTCGCTCACCTACTTGCTAGTCTGAACAATTTTCTGTCGATTTTTCTATCGCGTGAAGAGAAGCCGGGATAATTTGAGATGGAAACATTATCTTGTTATTCGTTCCGCGTTTAGCATTAAACGTACCGTCAGATGTTCAAGGTTAACTCATCTAGTATGAAGATCACGTACAATGTTATCATAATGATCGAAATGGCCACGTTTAGCGGTAATACAAGATATAAGCGCGCGTTTCACGCTTTTTTTTCCTCCTTTGTTTAGCGTCGCATTTAGCGCTACGTACGTCCGATTGCTTCCTTTAACTGCGCAGTACGAAAAAAAAAAATTGTATAATATAAATATGCGATGAGAATTGCGGATAGCCATATTTAGAGCGCTAAGTGCGCCGTGCGAACGGCAATCTCTGCATAGATAACGCAACCGAGGAAATGGATTATTGCAACACGCTTTTTTTGACTTTTTTCTCTTTTTTTGTGTGTAATGTTACGCGCGCGACTCCGTGACGTCAGTCATCAGTACTCTCCGACTTACCTGCCGGTCGGTTCTGTTGGCGGCTGTGAATATTCTCGTGGAGAAAGCATAGACAAATATAACCTACATAGAACGGTCTCATGAACGCGGCAGGGTTAATGCATGATGAAACCGGAAATTCGTCTACCTCGAGTCGACTAGAAGAATTCTAGAGTTTTTTAATTTTTTTTTTGTTTTGTTTGTCCAACAACTATGCCAACGCGCCCGTCTTAACGCTAACCGCGTTATCTATCTTCTTATCGGGTTGTAAAACCGGGCTAACAGGACGTGCTTGGACGCGAGAGGAATTATGTCGCACATTATCGGATTATGTTCCAGCTTTTTGTTATAAATGTTTCTATTTTCTTAGAAATGCAGGAGCATACCTCTTCTATCAGCAATCAACTCTACTTTATAATACTATTTTAAAAATAATTATTGTAATTATTAACGTTTATTTTAATATCATTTTTTCAAGCGCACTTTGCAAGTGAGAAGGCTGATAAAATATAATCGAAAGAATTAATGCAAATATATTGAAATGCCGTGGCAGTAAATTAATTGTACTACAGTAAACTAGGGCAAGTGACAAACCGGTTTTGAAGCCGCTAAATATAATGAAACGCAGAATTATTGCTTTTTTACAAATTATTAAAATAATTTCTAACGAATTAATCGGCTTAAAATTCGTAAATATTGCTTTTATACTAAAATTAAAGATTTTGAACTTCTAAACTTTTTTCAACTTGCTTGTTTATTGTTTCAAGCTTTTGAACTTTCCTACATTGATAAAAATTATTAATAAAATTCTAGCATATTGTTGCCATTTTAATAATTCGATGTATGCTGTGTGTTATGAAAGACATTTAAAGTCCTCTTTCAAACTAATGATATTAAGTGAGGATTAGATAACCGGCGGGGGACGATGTTTTTTTCCTTCATCATAAATGAGTACGTCTTTCGTCACAATAATTCGCAATTGTTGTGATTTATGTTCGCGGTACGAAACCGCAGAAATCCAAGAAGAGCCGTTCGCACAAAGGAACACCAAGAGGATCGAGAAGCGTCTTTCTCTCCTCGAGTGCATCTTCTTTCTCGGCGTGCTCCTTTATCCGGCGCGTTCATGTCTCCCGTTCGCACGCTCGTGTGCCATTTACGAGGCAAACCGGTTTACGCTTTTTGCGAGCCACGGCTTCGCGAAGAATGTTGATTTTTGCGATACATACCGCTTGGGAACCTAGCCTAACCTACATCATTATCCGGATGAGCTGACTGTGCTTGAAAATCCGCGCGCCGACACGCCGTGTGCGAGTTACACGAAACTGTCTCCGGTCTCTTTAGTGCTGACGCGAAATCACATTGGAATATTCGAGGAAAAAAATTGCAGCTCCGAAATCGCCCGATTCGCCTTTTCAAACGGCCATTGTTTGCAAATTGGATTACTTTGTTAGACCGTTTCGGTTTTAAATCGTGAATATTTATTACACAAAAAAACTCAACTATTAAAGCAGTATCGTTTCTTTTTTTCTAAACGTTAAAAAAATTTATTTTGCAAACGTTGAATATTTATATTATCGCGTGAAAACTATTTTAATTAAATAGAATCGTGAATCCATCTTACGAAACCACCTATTGAGTCTGGATCTTTTTCACATCAACGGTTGGATTTCGAGATATATAAGATTAAGAACTCAATTTCACGGAGTAAATCTCTATCGAGTTCCTTTAATCTTTATCTAAACCTTCGGCTTTACTGACCCACATCAATTTAATTAGACCATTCCTTTGAAACATCGTTCCAATACTTTTGTTTTCGATGTTTCAAAGTAAGTAAACAAAGATAAAGTTTAGTATACATCAAGCAAAGTAATTACAATTATCTGGTTTATTTCATCAGCTTCATATTGATTAATTTTGAATTATTAAATCGGAAGTTCTGAGAAAATAACATATATCTCGAATTAAATAATTTAATTAAATTATCTGTCTAATATTTTTGTGTTATTTTTGATATCTCTAAATCAATAAATAAAAACAAAATAAGCATAAAACAGAAATAAATCTTAATTGACTGAATTAATCGTAAGAAGCTTTGATAATTAAGTTTACTTGTTGAATTGTTCAAAATCAGAGTCTCCGAAAAACAATCCAATATAAGTTCAAGGATCTTGTTCGCTGGATGGGAACAATCTCATGAAATGCGGCGCGTCTGTTTAGTTTTCGTAAAGGCGTAGAAGGTTTGACGGTCGGACCTTTAACAATGGCGTCACGAGCGAAAAATGATAATGAGACGCACAGTGCTGTAGGTTAGTGAGAACAATGGCCAGTTCGCTCTTAATGAGTCGGCACGCATGCTGCCCGCGTGCTCCCGTGTAGTAAAAATATTTTCGGCGCCGAGGCCGTGCCTCGAATGACGAGTGTGCGAATCGCCGAATTCGTCCTCGACCATGGGAGGCAAAGTCACTTCGCGCCCGTTCGTCTCGACGTGGAATTTCAATTCGCTGTCATGTTGCACTCGTGCCGATTCGTGTCGTTTCTCGCACGTGTCACCGCGTCACAACGTTCCTTGTTGTACGTGTTCGTCAAACTCGCGAATATAAATAATGGCGTAAATTTTTGCTGTCTTCGTAATTTTATATGAAATGTATTTACATATCGTTGGAATTTACTTTGTTATAATTGCGAGTAATCAATTTTTATATAAAATTTTGCACTAATTATTATAAAGATTCCCACGTGTCGATATTTATATTACAATAACAACTATTTTGTTGTAATCAAAAATCGAAAAAGATAAAAAATCTTCAATTTTTAATTCTCCAGAAATACTAAAACTTTGTATTGAAGTTAAGCACTTCGACATTGTTATAATAACACTTATTTTGCTATAATAAAAAAAAAAAGAAAAAAATTCCCAAAGAGAATTCAATTTTTAATTCTCCTGACATGTTAAAACTGTGTATTGATTGTTGCAGATACGAGTAGAGATTATTTTTTGCTCGTCCATAGCATAGAATTCCGATTGCGATTACGCGGATAAAATCGCGGCTTTCCGCAGTTCGCTGGAGAACGCAGTACGAGACCGGTGAACGATCGGCTCCCAGTAAACGGTACGCGGTGTGCATCTCTGCGCGCGAGTATTATCGGCGACGAGTCACGAACGGGCCTGTGCAGCGGCGGTGGCGGCAATCGAAAACCGGTTCGACGAAACTTTCGAAAATTCCAGAATGACGTAGTCTTGGATCCCGGGCGGGTGTGTGCGCACAGCGGGTGAAGACACATGGCCGCGCTTCTCACGTTTCTTTATTTACAGTTACTTATGTAATCAGGCAGCACGAGCTGCTCCGTCCGTCTCTTTTCGACTACTCGAAATAATCAATAATCAATTTGATCATGTTGGGATTTTAAGCGTATAAAAAATGTGTGTTATTATAGAAACCATGTAGTCGCGAAAACGGAGAGCGTTGAGTGCATTATGCGTGCAAGAGGAAATGTTCACTTATCTTCGTCGAATCGTTTCTTAAGCACCACTCTGCCTGGGATACCGACAAGAAGCCACTCGCGCGTTATTATTCGCACCGGAGAACCGCGCCGGACAAAAACCGGGGCTTACTATAAATTACGACGAGAAAATAGTCACGGATAATTCTCGCTACGCAAGCGAGCAGACATGGTTTCAATGTTCATAAAAAAAAAAAGGCGTTCGCGCAATTATATTGCTGCGAGAAAAACGAATATGGAACAAAATAGTCGGGTGGAGTATATATTGAAAAATAAACGGATATTCTGCGCGGATATTCGTCACAACAAAAAATTTCATTACTCAACCAAGCAGGTTTTATAATTATCTTCTCGTCTCTTGTAATGTATTATAAAGTATAATTGTCTGAATCTTTAATAAACCGAGCTTAATCTTCTCGGCACATAATTTAGAATAATAATTCGTTTCTGCGAAACTTAAGCGAGTTTTCACACAAGCGTATATATAATTTTAATAAAATATCGCAATCGCGCTAAGAAATTTCAATGTACTCACGTGCGCTGCGTTAACTGGTCGACGATGACGGAGCTCGGCAATTCCGGAAAAATATCTGGATCCGATGAATTCTTCACAATTGCTTGATTGTAGTTTTCTAAAAATTATTAAAATTAATTGTTAAACAATGTTTTTTTAAATTAAAATAAATATTAAAGTTGAAAAATTTTGATCTCTAATATGTAAAACTGACAATAAAATCTCTTATTAAGTTTCTATTAATAATGATTGAAATATCTATTAAATTTAATATTATTTTAACAATATTTAACATTATTTGTATTTTACAATTTTATATGTACCGCCTTTGAAACAAACAATTCAAAAATATTTGTTAAATTAAAAGTACAATTGTAATTAAAGCAATTATTTACTTTTTACCTTGAACAAAACTCTTCTCCATTTCATCTTCGATAATGTGTTGTTCAAATCCGTCTTGCCCGAGCATTCGCCAATCGTGTATTTCCTTCCGTAAAATGTAAATCGGATTATTGTGGTTCGTGCTGGCGACGCTCGTTTCTTCGGGCAAGCGGCCCTTGTGTCCCGAGTTGTCACGCACCTTAGTGTCCTTCTTATTTTCCTTCCGCAAAAGAAGCTGTCGTTCGTGGAGACCTTGCGATTTCATCGTGCTACTTTTTGCAGGATTTTCGTCCTTCGAAGATCGCGTCTTTTGCGACGACGTTCCTGCGGACGCAGACCTTTTTCTGTCGATTACGGGCTTCGAGCGTCGCTCAGAGGAAACGTTTCTCAAGGACATGTTGAGAACGACGGTTGTTTCACGATCACGACATTTAGCTCTCTGAAATATTAAACAATGTGTGTTAGTAACACAAAATACAGAAATAATGATAAATTAGTGTATAATGTATAATTATATCATCAGCTTAATTAATATAATAATAAATAGATTGTAATTAACATAATTAAATTGGTTCGTTCAAATTTAAGGCACTTATTGAGCAGATCTTATATCAAAGTAAAATTTTACATAGATTATTAATACCGTTTACTTAATGTTTTTAAATAATATGCATAACTGTAAATTTTCTCATTAAAAAGAGCATATAATTGTAATAAATTACCAATAATAATAAACAGAACAAATTTCTTGATTATTTAATCGACAAAACTGTGCAAATCTGTTAAAATATTAGTAATTATCGACTAAACTGTTTTTTTTCGTAAATAATATAAAATATCTTTTTACATGTATTTTCATATTAATAAAATTATTAGGTTATATAAAGTATTCTTATGTAGAGTATTCGACTTAAAATCGGCTTGCAATTCTAAAAATTGCATAAACTAATTTTAACCAGTTGAGTGATAATGTATCATATATGTACATTTCTAAATAACTCCACTAATTTTCAACAGATTTGCATAAAACTTGATATCCTAAGGTTTTTTGGGCTGCTGAATTCGAATCTGTTAAAATTGCAAAATTCAAAATAGCAGATTCAATATGGCGACTGTTAATTGTTAAAACGACTAAAATATTAAAGTTAGGTAAAATATGTATAAGATCTTATTTGTAGAGCTTTTTATGAGCTTCATTTTTTGTTTGGCAACTTTTCCGTACAATGAATACTTTCTGAAATAATTAACAAAAACAGTTTTATTTTTGAACCTTTGAAAGGGGCTGGGGGCGGAGGGGACACTCAACTGGTTAAGTTGAACACCCTGTAAATATAATAAATAATTTAATATTGTGATATTTATTTTTCTATTAATATATCTCTTCATTTAATAGGATATTTTTTGTCGACAGCAAAGGAATCAAATACAAATGTAAATCGGCACAAATTTTTACAACTTACAACCGTGTCAATACTGTCGATAACACGCAACAGCGGGGTTATGAATTTCCGATGGTATCATGGCACGAATAAGCACGACAAACAATTGTACAATAATTCACTCCCGGCATTCAAAAAATAAAGTATTCTGCTTATTAATTATTGCGAAAGATTTGACTTACGCAGGACTTAAGCGCGGTGAACAAGCTGCCGATTTAACGTATGCACCTTCCAAAGTTTGACTAACGTATGTGGCTATAGCACGTTTCACGTTCGTTCGTCAGAACCCTCGACTGTCAGCTGTCTTCCATTTGTAACTGTAACAAAGACAAAACATTGAGAAGATGTTCGTGCGGAACGAATGTTACGGGAACTTGACTGAATCGAATGGTAAAACACTCTTTTAGTTCGTTGACCACTTATATGTGAAGAAGTGTCAATTGTAAATAAATATTATTGACATTGCGAAGTAACCTATAACAAAATGACTGATGGTTGAATCGAAAAAATGCATAATTCCAAAAATTTTATTAATTCTGATTAATTATGTAGAAATACATTGTGTATTTTGAAAGATCAGTACTATTGAGTTACGTTCAATACAATTAATAATGTATTAAAAAATTTCATATATTTTTATTTTGATTTCGAAATAAAAAAAATCCATTTACTTTTTGATTTTCCTTCTTATTATATGTGTGTGTGGACATATGTATCGAGAATGATTATATAGCAAACTGTTTTTTTCTAAATAAATACAAGATCAAGAAAGTAAAAAAATAACCTTAATATTTATAGTCCCTTTTTATTGCCGTATTAAGGTTACTTTTTGACTCTCCCTCGTATAATAATCTTACAAAAATAAATTATTTCTGAAAATTCGTTCATAAGCCATTTTTGCCTAAAATGTACTCAATATGGCGATGCTATTCAGTATTGTCGATATATGCATTATTTATACGTGAAAGTACTGAAATATTTACGATAATGATATGTTACCCATCGTTCCTGAAACAAAGGCATGATGTCTCGCGTACGATGAACAACGGCTTGCGTTGCGATCCACCGGTACGAAACATCTGCCGCTTATTTCCTGCCACGGAACTGCGACGTGTTTTTCCTCCAAAAGCAATGATCGGACGACATTAACCGATTCCGTTTCATTTCAGCTTTCACCGCGTTCGACAACCGCTCAAAAATTTCTTTTGCCGCAAAACTCACTTTTTGCAGACAGCTGCAGTTTAGCACCTGGAGAAGAAACTCACTCACCGAATTCCAACTTCCAAATAGCAAAATGGTGTACTCCGAACTTTCAAACTTCTAACTTAATTGAAATTGTTTTTGCGAATATATTGACGAATCACAGTTTCCGGTGGCAGTTTGAAATTTGATGCATACGAGAAAACGGTTACAAACTAAAGAAATTCGCTAGATGTTAATAGATTTAGGAACGCTTTAGGCGCCAAATACGAACAAGATTGAATACCTTTGATTTTTACAATAAAACATTATGAAAAAATATACAAATAATACGCAAAGTTTAGATGTTATAAAAATTGCAAAATTGTATTTAGTTTTGCTAAAAATATTCAAGCGATGTAATAGCGTTCTTAATCATTTTACGAAATGTATACGTATATCTTACACACGTGTTTGTTTCTAACCTCAAAAACGATCGTTAAGTTCTGATGCGACACACTTGCAAGATTGTAATAAATATAATAAAGATATTTTGCAGAAATTAACTTGATTGAATTTGATTTTCGGCAATGGCGATGCAAGTTCCGACTGATGTGGATGCTGATCAAATTAAATCTGTATGTATTTCTAACATCTGTTTAATATTTTTGCTGCATTAGAAATAATCTAAGATATATTGTGCATTTTAGAAATATAAATTGTATTTTTATACATCTTTAAGAGAGAGAGAGAGAGAGAGAGAGAGATGATATAAATTATTTAGGAAAATATAATGTAATCTAAATATTGTTTATATCTTACAGTTTCGAGATTTCTTGACTTCGTACAACAAACTCTCAGAAATTTGTTTTATTGACTGCATAACAGACTTCACAACGCGAGAAGTTAAAGCCAAGGAGGAGAAATGTGCCCTTAACTGTATGGAAAAGTACCTGAAAATGAATCAAAGAGTATCTCAACGTTTTCAAGAATTTCAAATGACTGCTAATGAAAATGCTATAGCAGCTGCTAAAAAACAAGGTCAAGTGATTAATTAGCACTAGATAATTGTAAATAAATTTTAGGATCTTTTTGTCACAATATTGTAATAAGATTACAGCAGATACTATTTGTAAGTTTCTTGCAATATTCTTACAATAAAATAATTCAGTTTAATATTCTATATAATAAACCAATCTATCAAATGCTTGATACTTGTTTGATGTGTCTTTTATTATTTTGTTGATAGAAAGAACATATTATTAACTGTATGATAATTATATATTATAATTAAAAAAATTGATTTTGTGTAAATTATAAAAATGGGTCGAGAGAAATGGTATAAAAATATTAAATAAGTGTTAACTTATATCTATTAAATAAATGTGAACTTGAATATCTATTAATCATTCTAATATGAATATGAAGATGAAGTTGACTTTTGATTATTCCTATATTATAATTTTTCCACATTCTAACATTTGTATATATAAATTTTACAATTTTTAATATCAATCTGTAATAATAATATGTGATTTGAATAATTCTGAATAACTTATCTAGTTTGATGTAAAATATTATTTATATTACAATATTTGTGATTTCTTCTTTCTCATACATGATTATTGTGAATATTAACATCATTAGTTTTTACAATGACATAAAAATCTATATAGAGAACGGAAGTGCTGTATATATATATTTTATACATAGCACATATGTATATATAAATATTTTATTAAGAAAAAACAATAACAATAAATATTCTTATATGTCTAACTGGATTTGGAGTGTCCAAAATCAGAGAACTTCGGCTTTCCTTGATGAATTTCGATGTCCATACTTTCGTTTTCCCATTCAAATGGTGAAAATGATTGTATAGCTGCTTGTGTAGAATTCATATTTTGAGCTTGATTCATGATTTGCGAGCCGAAGTTCGCGCTGGAGGCCTGAGGCTCCTCGGTTTGCATCGCGGAGTCCGAGTTGGGTGAATTCGGAGGTGTTTTTCGTAATCTTTTGTAGTCCGAGAATCTGTTTAACGATACTTGATCCACGCACACGGCCTGTGTGGTATGTCGCGTTTTGTACAATATCGGACAACCTAGGTCGCTCTTTAAGCTCAGATTATACAAGTTGGCGAGGCGACGTAGCTTCTCGCGCTCGGGTTGTCGCATAGGATGCAGTTTCAGCTCGCTCTGAGAGAGATCTTGCATGAAGCGCAAGACTTCCTCGTTAGCCGATGTGATGATAGAATAACCAGGCTTGTTGTCGACGTGACGTCGCCCGGCACGGATTTCTCTACCGCTGAGACCTTCACGGATGCGTTGTATTCTTTGCCTGTAGCTCCTCTTGGCCTCAGCTACCGAATGCTCGCCATGTAGTATCATTTGCAGGGTCGAATCCGTAATTTTATCATCACTGTTGCTTTCACCGTCATCCCGCCAACTCGATTCTCCAATCCAATCAGATTGTTCGTCGTCTCCTGAATCAGGTCATTCATATTTTTGTAATATGTTGTAATATTTCATTGCGTCTCTGTCTTTAACGTACCTTCTCTATCTTCGTCATTAGTAATGAGACCCGCCTCCGAATCGCTGGATGAAATACTCGAGCTAGATATTCGCGAACAATCTACAGTCTCATCGCCTTGCATTTTGTCTCGATTTTTCGGCTTTGCATTTTTGGTTGGCTTAGACACTCTCATCTCACAATCTATGGAACGCTCTCTACACGATCTCTTGCGCTTTCCGCACCTAAAACATAAAAATTCACACAAATATATTCACTGTTTCGTATTGCAATAAAAGATATAGTTAAGTACAGTATTCTTTACCATATGGCGCTATATTTATTTTTGCAATCGCTTCGAAAAATGCGTCTCTTGCCGGCAAACGAAGTCGACATAATCGCCACTGCTTGAGAAGTGGACGCAGTAGAATCGGAGTCAATGGCCATTCTTTTAAATTTCCTCTTGCGTCTCGTGTTTGCTCTCGGTACAAAATTTTCGTTCACCGAGTCGCTCTCAATATTACTGGTGTTGTTCAAATTGGAGAACCGTGCAAAACGTTTCGTCTGACTCGTGTCGTCGCTGTCAGACTGGTACTTTGAAACATTCGCAGTTTTTGGAATACGAATGTCGCAAATGGAAGATGAGCTATCGTCCGAATGTTTGCTCATACTTAATGCTGCTGTAAAATATTATGCATTAGTTATACATTATATTTGATCATAGTGTTGGACATTGCTTTAATTCTCAAGATTTACATGTGATTAAGATTTGACTTCTTTGTGCTATAAACATTGTGTTTCTACAAAGATAATAATTCACTAGACGATAATCTACACTATGCCTCGTAAAAGCAAACTAGAATTAACGTTGCAGTTAAGTGTGATTTTAATGCATGAGATACATTACGTTACCATCAAAATCTGCTTTATTTATGCAAAACAAAATAAATTTTTCCCTACTTGGTTGCACTCCCTTACACTTACGAATATTCCCTGTAGAGCGAGCCCTCCTCCTGATGCCCCATCTGCGTCTGAGATTTGCGCTATTGCTGCTTTCCTCCAGTGCCAAAGTCAGATCGTGCACAAGAGCCTCCATTTTTACTCTTAAATCCACCGGTCTCAAAACTGCTTTCAAAACACGCTCCATTTGAAGGACGCGTTTTTTGCTGCAAAATTGTCGCAAGCAAACCTTATTGATTGTTCAGGTAATATCATGTTTAGATCAATACATGATAAATTTATATCGTCGCTCGTGCATTTTACAATTATTTCAGTATTCCATTGCTCATCAATTAATTATTAGGCTCGCAATTACACGTCATTCTAAGCTCATTACACAATATGCATATTTTCCAACTAAGAAATTTGAGCGCTTTCAAGCTCGAATAGTCACATTTTCATATTGGAAGTAGCGTCTCTACGACTTTGCCGAGAAAAGGATTAATTCGTGCTTCATTTTCCGCGACAATAAACGCGTCGATAGTTGAGTCGTTAGCGACAGGAAAGCACATATGGTGCTTTACGACCGAAAAGGAGTCTATAGGAATATCTGCGGTACGTCAATCGTTGAGGAGGGGGTCAAAACAAATCGCGATTGCGTCGGCATTTAACTCTCGTCAGTGCGCGACAGTAGTACGTAACATCCTGCTACTCACCTCTTACAAGTGATGTCCATGAAGCCTCGCCTCAATAGTGTCTCATTGTCAAAACTCGGTTCACTTTGTCAACCGACAATGAAACGAAAGAAAAATCGCCAAGTCGCCGAGCGTCAGGTGTTCGCTGATCGTCAATTACCAAATGTATTTTCCACCGTAGCGTATGCTCGCTCGCACGAAAGTATACGAACAATACTTTTATCCAATGTATCGTGCGTGCGACTTGCGATTCGCTATGAATATCGAGCAGCGCGTCAGTCGTTTCATGAGAATTTCTTCTAAAACAAAATAAATTTTGAAATGTTGTCAACGCATCGTCGTTCTCTAGCAAAAAAATCAAAATGATATAATTAAAGATGCATTTAGAGTTACCTTTTTGCTTTTTATATCATTTTATTACGTATTAACGTGTATAAGCAATCATACCAACGAATTATGATAAATTCATACTACGTCTGAAATGTCCAATAGGAAACGTGGTTTCTAGAGACTTATTTAATACCATATTGGTCTCCAAAAATCAAAGTTTTTTATTGGATGTCAGGTCGCATCTTGATGACGCAATGTGAATCATGCATAATCTCAATATTCGAAATGTAGTTTCTACGAATTATGATAACGAATATTGGAAATATTGGAAAAAATTCAAATTCAATATTTTATAATTATATTTTATTTTATATTTTCTAATTATGTGAAAAAGAATCGCCAGATGTTCATATGTATACAGCCTAAAGTCACGTAACGATGACTTTCAGAACGCGCGGTGAGCATATTTGCACGGCCATTTCCGGTATTCCGTCGCGCAGACGGACGCTCCGCGAGTGTTGTAAGTGTTGCGGAACTGAGTTTTCGCTTGGAATTTACGTGTCAAGTGTGAGTGTAATGCGATATTGGGACAACGCATGACATTTATCGTCACATTAAAAGTGCGGGCGGATCTCAGTGGTCGCAGCGTAATGTGTGTGAATACATCGCGGACGTGTCGCGCGACGAGCCCCCGTAGCGCGGTGTGTAAATAGCGCGTAGTGGTCGTTTGCGCACGCCCGGCGCGCATCCGCGGCATCCAGATGAACGCGGGATCACGGCAGGCGGTCGCGAGGGCCACGAGGGGATTATAGTGCGCAAGCGCGCGCGAACGAGGAAGAAAGAAGAAGAGAGAAAAGGAAAAAAAAAGAAAGAGATCGACTGTGAGTGCTCGCAGATAACCGCGGTGATCTATTTGACGGTACTTCAGCGAGGGTGCGAAGCGACAAACGTTGGTGACAACAAAGGGAACGCGCGGCATTGGCTGTGTTGATCAACGCAAAAAGGCGACGCATAGGTGGCCGCAACGGTTCGGTGAACTTGGGGCCACCCCGTGATGGACGGCGCGAACGTGAATGGCGGGAACGCCGAAGCCCCGCGCGAGGATTCTAACCTCGAAAACAGTGACGCGACTGTACTGACGGCGGAGACGCGGGATTCTCTAAGTAGTAAGACGCAGTCCTCGGCCGACGGCAACGCGGAAGCGCAAGAAGTCAACGGCGACGTGAAAGGTTCATCTAGGAAACCCGGCGCGGTGTCCTTGCGCAGGAAGATGAGGAAGTCCAAGGCCAATTCCACGAGCACCGTCGAGAGCGACGGAGCGGAGACTCTCGGTGTGAGCACACGCAAGCGTAAACATTCGGAGTTTGATGACGCCAGCTCCGAAGACTCGGAGTTCAACGGCTTTGATTCCCAAGTGCTCGAATTGCAGCCTGGAAGTCTAGTTCTGAAGAAACTCATTGGTAACATTTGTTATTGTTCTCGGTTACTTAATATGGCTTTGCTTATTCCTTTTATAAAGTAGGCTATTATATGTAAAGTTATTTATTTAAATTTTATGTAATTAAAATAGTACTAAGAAAATATTTGAGATCTTTATTAATATTTATCTCAGAATTTTTTGTTTGATATTTCAGTTATTAACTTATTTAATTTATTTAATTTTAATTAACTTAATATTTTAATATTTCAAAGAAGATATAATTTTGCTATAATTAAAATCTTTGATTCTGGAAAAGCGAGTGAAGTTAAAACTAGCTAAAAACTAAATAAATAAGGTGTAGACATCATAATTATTTATATAATTATTAAAATGTGTACATAACTATATAGATATATAAATATTGTTATTTTTTTTTATTTAAGAAAAAAATAAGAGTTTTTTGATTCTCAAATTAATTCAAAATGTCTCTTTGCTTTTTGATTTACTGTCATAAAATGATAACAGCAATTCTTAGCTCACTAATAATAATCTAATTTCTATATTGCATTTATATAATATTCATATTGTATTCATATGAATATAATAAGTTTTACATGTTATAATTATGAAAATTGATTTATAATTTACACTACATAATTGTTTATAATGCTTTGCAAATAATAATTATTAAATTATATTTAATAAAATATTAATAACTAAAAGAGGAATATAGTAAATATAGCTTTTACATTGATATATGATAAGAATATAATAGATTGAACAATTTTGTTTAGAAAAGTTTATAATTTGCATTATTGTGAAATTTGTGCTATTTTATGTACCAAAATTATTTTTTATAAAAAATTGACGTATTCTAAATTTCATGTGGTTTATTACAGCTGAGGCAGAAATAGCGGAAGCCCAATATGTGAAACGTATAAGATATTCAAACAGGAGCTTTGACGGTAGAGAGAAGAAGGAGGACGATCAAGATATCGATGACATGAGAGCCTATATTTATGAGACAGATAGCTTAGAGGATGTAGGCAAAGTTAAAAAGGAATCTGACAAATCGGAAACAGATTCTATGGATATATCGAATAGTATAGATTCAGAAGCAGAGCCGAGTAAAATCGAAGATATTTCTATGAGATCAGCGAACTCGTCATCAGCTGCTAGCAGTCCATCTGCAGCGTCGCAAAGGTCGAAAAGCAGTCGCTTTTCGCGCGGTCTCAGTCCAGGAGGAAAGCACAGAAGTCCCATTGATATGTCGAATCCGTTATATAAGGAGCCATTTAAATATGGATGGAAACGAGAATTAGTATTTAGAGCCACTAATGACTCTGCCTTCAAGAGGATGGCTGATATATATTATTATACACCAAAGGGCAAGAAGGTCAGAAGTTTTAGAGAAGTTGCAGAATCTCGTAAGTATGCAGTGTGAAAAGCACATATTCAAATTGTGTATATCAGAATGTTAAAATTGATTTTTGTTTCACAGTTAATTCGAAGGAATTAACCATCGACAACTTTACATTTTTCAAAGAACCCATTGGTCTTGATGATCCTGAGAAGGAGATTATTCGAGATGCCAAAAGAATACGAGTACGTTTTTGGCGTTTATATAAGTTTTATATGAAATATTGAAACTTGATGGGGGGTGGACTTGGATCCCCACTTTCAAAGAAAACTTTATACTTATATTTGAACGTTGCAGGGTTCAGGAGGATACACCACAGGAAGAAAATCTTTTGGTAGAAAATCAATAGCAGCGAAGAAACCGGTGCCGGAACCTGTCGTTAAAAAACCGGTACAGGAACCTGTAACGAGGAGATCGGCACAGGAATCTGCAGCAAGAAAGTCAGTACAGGAGCCTCTTGCTTCTGTTCCGGCACCTGCTCCTGCACCTACACCTGCACCTACCCCTGCGACAGAAGCTTCAAAACTAACTCCACCTGTATCAGTGCCTACAAGAGCTGCCACGAAGGCGAAAGCTTCGACATCTCCGGCGTATAAAACAAAAGCAGCTGCAAAGAAAACCCCTCAGATAAGTACGTTCTTACAAGATGTTATATTTATTCATATAATACTATTCAAATTTATTTTTTTTTATTAAAGTGTAAGAAGAAACGAAGATTTTGAAAATATTTTTTCGTATTTAATATAAACTTTTTAAATGTTGAAACATATACTTAGGAATTTTTAAAACAAAATATGGCAAAAAATTTGCTTTATATATATATATATATATATATAATAAATATGATGTATATATCATATTTATTATATATAATTTTTTTTATACTTTAATATATATAATTGCTTGGTGTTGTATGAATTTCTATATTATATAATTAGAGTTTAGTATTTTTTTCTTTTATACTACAAATTTATGCTATAACATGGTTGTTCAAGAAAAATATTTTCTCTCTCGTTCACGTATCATTACACCAAAGTTATTTTCACGAGCTTGTTCTGAAACCTGCATAGCAGAGATGAAATCAGCTGCTGAAGAGCCTGAGATGCTTCCTCCTCAGCGGAGTACACCAAATACAAGGAGGAATCAGCAAGCAGTAGAGAAGGTTACCTCAGTTAAAACCAAAAGATTACTAACGTGAGTATTTTAATTCTCCAAATTCATTACTTCTGTTATAAGCATGTAATGCATTATGTTTGATGCTATTTTAAAGGTAAATTTAATCAAAAGCATACACATAGTGTATACAAAGAGAATTTAAAAATTGTTACGTAAGACATTAATTTAAAATGCAGAAGAATCAAATTTTGATAATTACATAATAATACGTAAGAAACCATTAGTAAAAATTAAAAATAATACATCATGAAATTGAAAAGCTTTTTTTAGAGAAAGACATAATTAAGCACAATGCTTAAGATTATATAGCTTATGATCATTAATTACTAATTAAAGACATTTTGATTGAAATGTAGTATTTTAGTGTATATTTTATCGAAAAAACGAAGGTATTTGAAAACCGTTGCAGTCACAGTCTAGTTTAATTTATGCTATATTAAATTTCTGCATTTTGCAAGAAAATAATATAATAATAATACATGGATGAATTTTATTTTACACGAAGCGTGCAGCTCATGCATATGTTTTTGAATTTTATTGCATATGCAATCGTCCATAAACTTAAATACACGGACAATTACGGAATTATTATGAAATGCATGCAATGTAAAAGTTACTGCCATCGGGCGAGAGAGAAGCTTATTCTGTCTATAATTTTCATAAATATTTTTCCCTTTGATCCTTTTTCACATATCCTTAATGGGAATCTTGTGTTTTTTCCCTGAATCCCTGTCCCCCTATCAACGCACATCTTACAGGCCCAAAGTTCAAGAGCCGTGCAGCATAAGATGTTCTACAAGTATGGGATTAATACCAAGTTTACAATGTCGAGTCTGTCTCTGTTTATATCATCCTGAGTGTGTTGATGGCATGGAGTTTGCAGGCAGTGATGAATATGTCTGCAAGGTAGGTTTGGTTTACTGTATTTAGACAACAGTTCAAAAGTCTCCGATAGAGGACCATGTGAACTACACTACCGCTCATTAATTTCAATACACCACCCAAATCTCTTGAGGATACACTGCACACCACCAAGAGAAACCTTCTCCAGGCGAGCAATTTCACGCAAACTATGTCCTGCATTTTTCAAAACGACTATGGTAGATCGCTTTTCGATTAATAACTCCTTTTTGGGAGCCATTTACGAGACCACTTTACACGTTTTCACAAGTTTTCACAGTATCACAGTACAAAGCGAACACCGGAGCCCTTTCACTGTGTATGTGTTGATAAATGGGTTTCAAAACAGCATTGGGCGTGTATCTGATCACTACGAGAACCTCGTAACCTTGCGCACGTATTTTGTTTATTTCCAGGGATCTGACACTATCCGGCTGTTAATTTTGTTTCTTCGAAAACTACAGTTTTCCAAAATTTTTATATAAATAATATTTAAATACGATGCATGTGAGTGCTGAAAGTGTTTTTAACAGCAGGTGGACTCATTTCTGTGCAAAATATACGTATCACGTTCATCCTTTACAGAGAAATCAACAAATCTGGGGTGTATTGAAATTAATGAGCGGTAGTGTACATAAAGTATTTAGAGTGTAACATTCTAAACATGGTGTTGGAGTTAGATGTATATGTTAAGTCATTAATATGTTTATAGCGAATATTTCCATAGAATATCGAAGAGTTCAATTTACATTAGATTGCGGCTACACAGACTCGAATGATAATTTTCCTCGTACTGATACGAAATTAAATCTGTTGTAGAATTGTCAGCCGGATACTAAAGAATCTCATACGTCAAACAATCCATCTTTGACACCACCTCCGTTGATCCCAATTAGCATGTTAGGTGCCCAAAATACGAAATCGAAACATCAAACTAATTCGGCGCCGCCGAAATTGCAAAGAATCCCAAAGTCCGACGGTGCGGACACGCAAACGAGAAACTCTTCCAGAATTTCCAAAACGCCATCGAACGTAGGTTCCAAAACGATGTCGAACGCGTCTTCGAACGTGGATAGAACAGAAGCCGCTTGGTTCCCGCAAACGGAGAACGAGTTCTTGCAAAGTCACGACGGTGACGTGCCGAAACCAGCTCAGAATATTGCTGTGATGGGCGGCAAAAGGTACATAGTAGTGCCGAAAAATAATGCAATGGCTGTTCAACCTGCTAGAGTGAAACCGGACAAGATCGGCGACAAGCCGCCAATTCTTCCAGACGGTTCACTTACTGATATTTCGAACACGGTGGACAATTCCGCGGTGAAGTCACGCACGGTTCCGCCGAAATCGTTGAATGACGATCCACCCGAAAAAGCAAATATTACGCCGGACGAAGAGATAACAAAAGATGATTCGACGCTTTCGACAGACTTTGCATCTGCTATCACTGAGACTGAAACGTTCGATAGCAAAGATAACAAGGATGATAAAGATAATTCTCCCAAAGAAGATCAATCGATTGAAGATATATCGGTTGAAAATGAATCTTCCACTGCCAGCATTGTAGATTGTGTGCCTGAAAAGGAAAATGCAGATTTAAATTGCAAATCGCCTGACAATAAGTCTGCATGCACACCGACATCTATAGCGAGTACTGCAAACACTATTGACGAAGCAAATGTTGAAATAATTCAAACAGACGACCAACAGTTATTATCAAGTAAAGAGGGTACAGTAAAAAAGGTTAAGCATAGCAAGTAAGTGTATACATCCTTGAAACAGACAAGGCTTCTTATTTTGTCCCTTATTTAGAACGTTTCTTCCAAATGATTTAAGTTGCGGCAACTCTCTTTTGAGGTTTTGGCAGTTGCTTTGTACGTATTGTATTTACAAAGTTCACGAATATATATCTTTCTACGATAATCCACACTTCAATCGGTAAAGATTGTACAGAGAATACAATTTATATGAAAAATGACGAGGTTCAATAAATAATAAAATCATATTCTTTTGCTTTTTTTGTTAAATACACAGTTGGATGTATTAAAAGAGTAGATTTTACATTGTACGCAATACAAGATACTTGCGAATACGCAAACTTGTAAAGTTGTAAATGCAATATATACTGATGTTTATTATATTTGGAAATATAAAAATCGTATGTTAAAAATGAATTTGATTTTATCTTGTGATCGAAGCACACTGCCTTAGCTTCTTAGAAATGCGGCCAAATTTTCGACAGATATGAAAGATAAATAAGAGGCGCACCCGTCGGTTCTCAACGTTGTTCCTTTGTAATTGTAGTATCAAGGTAAATTTACGATAATTCGATTTTACTCGATATCAAAATACACATTTATACATAAATGTTTACATTCATGCTGCAATTACAAAATAAAGCTACTGATAAGTGCTTCAGGGAAAAAATCTAATTCATTTTTACTTTTTATATTTGCAGATATAAAGACATGAGAGAGCTGAAACACAAAAAAAAAATCTTAGTGCGTTTTCCCATAAATTCTCACAATCCTGTACATCATCCAATTCCACATCCAATTCTATATTTGTTTCGTTGCTTTGAACCTTTGTCACCTTCTTGATAGGAATATATATATATATATATATATCATTGATCGGAGAGATTATTTTTTCAGAGGCTTTTTAGGACAAATGCGTCGAGAATTATAATATGTAACAGAAAATTATATGTATCTTTTGTAATCGGCGCGATCTTTCAAGGCCTCTTAAAAATAAACTCTTTCTACATTGTAATAGATAAATTGCTTTTTTTTGCGTTCGATACAAGCTATAAATGTGCGCAAAAATAGAACATTTGTACTAAAGTGTACGTTTCTTTTGATATTTTCAGAAGGAAGCAAATGTCTCAGCAGGAGACGGAGCAGCAGCAAAATTTCATGGGCTCAGTTTGCGCCGGTTATCACGCTCTATTGCGTATATTTCAATATCTTAAAGTTCAAGAGCTGCTGCGCGCCGCGCGAGTATGCAAAATGTGGCGTGATCTCGCGGCACACCCGTCTCTGTGGAAGACCGTGCGCATGAAGAACAGCCAGGTGACTGATTGGGACGGTCTGGCAGACACGTTGCAGAGACGCGGTACGCAGCATCTTGATCTTAGAAAGATGTTGGTATCCGGCGAATCCGACAACATTTGGCGGAAGTTCTTAACCGTCATACCGCGCGTTACCAGTCTCGTTAAGCTCGAGCTGTGCAGATGCCCGGTCATAGTGGTCGAAGAGGTCCTCAAGAGCTGTCCACAATTGGAGGTGCTGAGCGCGATGGCGATTAAGTGTGATTCTCTCACCTTGGAATCGGTTGGGAATCTGAAACGGTGCCAGGAACTGAGACTTAAGGCAATCAGCGGGATGTCGTTGCAGCAAGATCTTACACCTTTACAAGATCTGACGCATCTAATGCATCTGGTAAGGCCATCTGTTTTAAACTTTTATCAATATGATCTTGTGAATGATCGTTGATTCGCTTTCTGATCTTATTATTTGATATCGCAAGCTTTTGTTGTACCGTATCGCGCGACTGCACAATTTCTCTCGTTGCTTACAGAGTTTGACGTCGGTTAAAGAACTTGGGAAGAAGAAAATTGACGTTATACAGACATTGACAAATCTGGAAACATTGGAGTTGGGCGAATGCTCCGATTTCCCTGACAAATTCGGAACCACCGTTCTGATTAAATTAAGCAAATTGGAACGTTTGAGACTCGAAAAGGGTCAAGGATCTTGCTGTACATTCGACATTCTCGAAGGCGTATCGAAATTAGAGAATCTTAATCAGATGGAGCTGGTCAATTTTGACGTGAAGAATGGTTTCGACAAGTGTCTCGCCAATTGCAAGAATATTAAAAGGTTACTGATCATACCAACTTACATATCCCAGTCGGCGACGTCCAACAACATGGTGCTCGGTGGTGTCACAGAGCTGTCGAACAATTTGACGCATTTCGTATGGGGCGTCACGCTCGAGTTACTCAGGGTCACAGAATTGTTCGTCGATCAATGCAATCTCATGAGCAAGCAGGTTACCGGAGATTCTATACCAGTCTTAAAGCCAGTCCCCTGCTTAAGATTGATCGCGGACGTCGAGGATGAAAATGACTACCAAAAAAGTACGTTTTGAGTCTTGGAGTTAGTTATTCTTGTTTACTTCCGTCGACAATAATTATTATTAATAAAGGAAATGTTTCATACATACCTAATTAATGCATCATTCAACAATTCCGCAGGCGATGACAAGCAGCAGCCACACCAAACGAGTCCGCAAGTCGACATTTTACCGTTGCCTCAATTACAGAAGCTTCTTTTGACTGCATTACCCAAGACACGAGTTAAGATCTTGAAGATACCCTTCCATGCCACATGGCGGCAAAGCATTTCCGATACCGCGGCGCAATAAAAGCGAACGAGGTGATATGAGCTGATATGAAATTAATAGATGGGGCAATTAGAAACTTATGTGACATATGTGCAAGAGTTGGAAAGTTAAACTCTTTTTGTAAAGTTAAACTCTATACTGTGTCTGTGCTCCAATATTTGCGAGTTTGAATGAAGAAAGTAACTTTTATATATACATATATATGTGTATGTATGTATACATATATTTATGTATCATGAGTCTTATAATCTTCAATCATCAATACCCTTTATAACGTATGGGTACACACTGTACAGCAATGGCATCCACTGCGGTATATTTAATGCTCTTGTGATAAATACGCGGGACCATACATATTAAGCGTCATCCGCGACGTAAAATGACGCGGGCCGGCAACACTGTCTGTGTGTGTGTGTGTGGATTAATTTAATCAAATAAAACACTGAATTTTATATATCAAAATTTTGTATATCGATGCTGTTTCGCACACTAACTGTGGAAAAGTGGTACAGATTTGTACTTTGTCAAAGTTGCTGCAATGTGTACCTGCGTTGAAGAATGAATTTATGCAATTTTTTAAAACATCAGTTTCTGATCAATTTAAATTTTGTTTCTTTATATCATAAATATTAATTTAACTGGTTAATCTCTTACCTTTTGCTGTTTTAATAAAAATTTTCTTTTGATATTACATATTATAAAATAAATCTTATATAATATATAAAATAAATGCTATATATTATAAAATAATAAAGAAATAAATCCAATTTTTAATAATGAATATTATTTCGCAAAGTTCAAGAAATTTAATGCTTTATTAGGCATTAAAGAAAATTATTCAACTCCCCCACCTTTTCCTTTTCAACCTTGAGTTTTAAGATACCATGCACGTTTTGGATTTTTATCATAAGAAACTGATGCGCTTACAGAATTGTATAAATTCGTCCGCTTAAAAAAACAGGATGTTTGAGAGCAGAATAAATTTTTTTTCAATGCTCATTTATGCATTGGATTTTTTTAACGGTGTGGAATGATGTTTAGTATCAAAAAATAGATTTATTATTAAAATATATAATATTGAAAGAAAGAGAAGGAACGAGTTTTTATTGGAGTAGCAGAAAGTATAAGATCACATAATCTATGCGGCTCTATACGGCTCTAGAAGTTAGACTGTATAAAATAATACTACAATATATATATATATATGTACATATACATATGTATTTATATGTATGTATATGTATTTATATAATATTGTGATTGTAATCTATCTTTAATGTTTAGAATACGAGTTTTCCGCTGCAAAGAAGCTACGGCAAAATTTTGAAGGATTAACATCGTGTAGAATGTGTAATATACTTACTATTTTGTTGAAACATATAACATAATCAAATACAATGTTACGAAGATATTCATTGATTTACATGTACCGAGTACAAAATGCGCATATAATAACTGTAAGTTTTCAATAATGACTGTGTCTATATTCCTTTCAAAGAGGCATATGTTTCTTTCTACGACCCCGTTATTATCTTCTTTTGTAAGAAATATATATATATATATATTAGGGGAATAGAAATTTATATTTTTACTATAGTAAGAGAAAAAAAGAACGTTAGAGATATGCTAGAAACTTACATTTTAAGCAAAATACGAGGCACATTAAAATTATTATGTTTTAAGCAATGTTATCGTAATTCATTTTGCGGTAGAAACCCACACAGACACACGCACTCGTATGTTTTTACATCTCAGCAATTTTTCCTGGATTCTATAATAAATACATTTTACTATATACACTGATTTCATCATTTGTATCATTAAATGTAAAAAGACTTATTTGTTGAATTTATTGTTTGCTCTTGCTTTGCAGCGCGAAAATTTCTCGTATTCACTTTGTTTTACTCTACGTTTTGTTACATTGCAACTTTGATAATTTATCAGCGTCAACGTTGAGCCACGGATTTTATGTTTTCGGTTAACAATTACGCAACAAAAGATGGTTCTTACATTGATAATAATTTGTGAATGAATGTATGTATATGCGGAGATTTAAGGATATACACATTCAATTTTTTCTCATCAGATTAGATGTTGAATAATTTCCGCAGTATAAAAAGTTGACGGATTCACGTTTCGAAATACAATCTTTGTACAATCCAATGTCATTTATTTTCCATATCGGTTATACATATATGTGTTACTTTAGTGACATTCGCGGTTTGCATTATTGTATTACTTTCGATGTAACGTTAAGTTGAGAAAGGACAATTATATTTATATATAATATATAATATAATTTATATATTGTATATAATTATATATATTTATTATATATATTATATATAATTATAATTATTATTTAATATAATATAATACATTTAGACGCGTACGACAACGGGTACTCCGTTTATTTGTAATTAAATTTATGTATATGTACATATAGTACATACAATTCACACACAATATGCAGTATCGCAATACACTTGTAAAGAGAATTGATTCAACGCACGATGCATGCCCTCGCGTTTTTATTTATAATCGAACCAATATTAACTGGTTTAATATATTCATGTTAAATAAATATATAAAAGCCGCAGAGCGTGGGAAATGTTCCGAGCACACGAGAGATCGGTTGAATTATTATTCATATATACATATATTGATTAAATCTTATCGTTGCGGAATGAAAATTCTTTGCGCAATGCGGGCGCTAATTTGCGACGAAGAAATTTGAAAATTTGCATTGCCGCTGTTATCCCGCTGAAAATAAACAAAGTCGCAAAACGTGAAAATGTTCAGAAATTACGAGAAATATAAAAAAAAAAAACTAGTAAATTAAATTTGCGTACAAGAGGAATTAAGAACCGTTGCGTAATATTTAATTACGTAATTTATACAACGAGTCGATATGAGATTATATAATGCGAGACACATAGATCTATTATTAATAATTTTACTAAGAGCAAATGATATTTTATAGAAAAGAAGCATTTTTGATTAAATTCTACAGTGGAAGTGCTAATGCTGGTTTTCGCATACATATTTGTATATTTATTTCAGTTGACATACGTTTCGGTCGCAAACTTGATCTTCTTTAATGTGTATGATATTAAGATTTTGAATCCTTACATTAGTTTAATTGATTAGTTACCCTAGTTTTTAACATTTTTCATTTAGTTATCTCTCGCATATTTTTATATTATATCGTCTTAATAAATTTATCAAACTAATGTGAATCCATTTCGGACAAATTTGTCAATAGATGTAATTTTAAATTAACTTGATAACTTGAACGATCAAGTTTCACTGAAATAATATATAAATATGAGCACATCCCTAGCATTCGTCTAATAGCCAATTTTTATTACAGAATTTTTTATCAGAATGTTGGAAACAAATTTTGGAATTTCTGGTTGAAAAATTATTTTTTGCATGTATTTTATATTATGCCCTGATATTGATATTTATGTATATGCGACATTTTTTACAAATATTTAATCGACTATTAATTAATAATTGTTATTTTGAATTTATTTCTATTAAGTATACTTTAATATTTATTATGGACACAAAAAAATGATGAGAAAAATATTATTTTAATAGAAAAAATTATATATTTTGAATAATAATTACTTTGAACGTCCGACTACTGTGACATTTACCTTGTATCGATTAATCTTATCGTTGCCCAATTGATAATCATTTACATAATACAGGTGCTCATTTGCAGTGATGGTATTGTTTCAGGATCGTTCGCCGATTGTGATTCGAAAGATTCGGGATGATCGAGTGCGATCCAGCGGTAGGGTTGAAGGAAGTAGTTGCAAAAGTAGGTGACCCCTGGCTGAAAATTGAAAATCAATAGAACGTGGCGCGGGGTGAGCAGACGGGAGTCGCGAGATGCATATACATACAGACAGGCGGCCTCGGCTCTTGCGCGCGGCGCTTTCGAGGTTATGTTGCCCGTGTTTCGACAGAACCGCAACGACGTGAACGCGCGGCCGATACGCTGCTATTTTCGTTGCGGCGTACAGTGTGTTTATTCTTGCCAGTCGTAGCCGCCGCGCGTTACGCATTATGATGTATTTGAATGCGACGGGGAGTCACGAGAGCGCCGTGAGATAGTAGACAAAAATGGGCAGGAAGAAAGCTCAGGCGTCGTGCAAAGGTAAACAACACGGCCCATCGGCGCAGCAGAAGCAGGCATCCTCTGCGGCACGTATCCTCTCACGAGGAGCGAGGAACGAACTCGATGTCCTGTGCGAGAAACTTTTTCATCGTGAGTATCTTTCCGCGCTTGTGCGATTTCCTTCTCCGAGCGAGTCGAAGCGTTCTCTTTGTTTTTGACGCTCGCATCGCAACGTGCGAGGAAGCTTTATTGACGTCAGTAATATATGAATTTTTAAGTTACAGAGAATCCTTGAAATCCTCTTGTTAAAATTAAGAAAGATGGAATAAATATGTGTCTATATATATGCACTGTAATAATATGTGCATCACAAAGTATAGAATGATAAATATGTAACAACTAACAAGCTAAAGTACAAGAAATCTTGATATACATTTTTATGACTTAATGCGATAAGAAATAATAATGTCACTGTTTCGTTGAAACAAGATATTATTAAAACATGAATAATGCTGCATAACAAGATCGAAATTTCTTCATGGAAGAATTAATTTTTATAGTTGAAAACAATTAGAATTCAGACTTGATTCTTCTGGAAAAGTTTTTAAGTCTTATAAAAGATTGTGAATTTTTAAAAATTTATTATGCAACGCATCTTTGATTAAGAAATAGCATTGATTATTGCTGTGTAGAAATGTCAGAGGTATCAAAGATTCTTACATTTTATCTTCCGTTATGAAATCATAATCATTCTCTACTTTGTCTTCGCACATATTACTGCTGAAACTTGGCCTTGTTATTGTTTTAAGAGATTTGTTTGCTTTCACATGCTATTCTGGTGCGTTTGCAGTGACTAGCAATCCGGCGTATATGACGCAATTATGGAACAACTACTTGGATATATCGGAAGTTCTGCTGAAGGTTAAACGTTTGGAAGAGATGAAGACGGAATCGTCCCAGCGATCCCAGGTGATTGGACAATTCACGAATTGGCTGACGGAGAATGGGGCGCGTATGGACGGCGTGAGCATCGCCGAGTATCCGGGATACGATCTGGGACTGAAGGCAGAGGCCGACTTCGCCGAGAATCAATTGATCCTGGAGATACCGAGGGCCCTGATTTTCAGCACGTATACGGCGGCGCCGGAATTAACCGCTCTGCAAAATGATCCGTTGGTCCAGCACATGCCGCAAGTGGCACTGGCGATAGCGCTACTCGTGGAGAGATACAAGAAGAATTCTACGTGGAAGCCTTATCTGGATATGCTTCCGAATAGTTACAACACGGTTTTATATATGAAAGCCAATGACATGATCGAGCTGAAAGGCAGTCCTACGTTAGGTACACACAGAGATTTTTTTTACACGAACCTTTTGCACCTTTTTTTTTACCTCATTTCTACAAACCTATTTCGCGTATTCGTAGTTTTCATACATTTTCACTTTACTTTTACAAAACCTGTTTTACACAATTTTTTTTTAGAAAGTTTCTGTCTGTTGATGCACCATTCATGCTTAGTAAATAACCTGAAAAATATGATTTCAATAATATGCGAGAGTGCTTTCGTATTCTTAGATTTATTTCATGTATGTGCAGAGCCTGCATTGAAGCAGTGTCGGAATATCGCCAGGCAGTATGCTTACTTCAGCAAAATATTTCAGAACAATAATGAACCGGTATCTGCAATGCTTAAGGACATTTTCACCTACGAACGATATTGGTGAGTAATTAGAATGGCATTGTCAAATTATAATGAAAACAAGTGGCCAACTAAAGACTGAGGGGGATAAAATTTACAATTTTATATATAAAATACAGCTTACAAGATACATATAAATCTATAAATAAATACATCTTACTCTACACGAAAGCAGAATAGCTTATGGGTATAATCTAATGATGAAATTAGTTGATCGTCAGCGATAGAATATCGAAATGATAAATCTCGTTCAGAGAATTGTCAAGTTAATTACATATTACAACTTTTTTCTCATATTTTTTTTTCCGTATATCGGCCGATTATAATTTAGAAGAATATGTATGTACACGTATGGAACTTATTTTCTTAGTTTATTCTCTCTTTTTCGGTCAAATAACGCGACCAAGTAACTAAAACGTTCGATGTGGTGCTCTAAAGTGCTTTGCAAGGAACACTCAATCAGCCTTCGGGATATAGTTTTGATAATCGTGCGTGAAAATACTGATAGTTTCCCATTAAATCGATGCAAAAGATTTGTCAGTTTTTCATTAGACTTCTCAAGTTAAATCTCATTTAGATTTCTCGACTTTGGATGCATATATCTTGATTTATAAAGCACACAGAGCAAAAACAAGCATATTTTTCTTATGTAATTTGGGTATGCGCTTTCGATTGAGCCTATTAGCAACTCAATCGGCTCAGCCGTTATTGAGATCCGATAATCTCGGCTCATCTGAACCTTCTGTTTCGCGTAAAGATACACGGTCGGTCTTGCGCTGCGCGTGAACTTGGCGCGAGACACTACCGTGTCTCTTGATTTTAAATGTCGAATATATTTCAAGACGACTAAAGAGCGATTGACGGAAAGGGGATATTTCGTTGGAAGTGAAAATTGCCGAACAAAATTAGCGCGATTAAAATACGATCTCGAAACGAATCTTTTGCATCAACTTGACCGCGACTGATAGGCTAATCGTACGATTGCGCGTAGTTATTTCGCGTAATCGGGTATCGTCTCCCAGCTGTCGTTCGCGTCCAGCGAGTCATTGTCCATGTCGCACTTGCCGTCAAACTCCTCCGCGACCTCCTGCGTCTCCATGCGCTCGGGTCTCTTCGCCGTCGACGTCGCGACGACGTTCACCATCACGGTGCTCAGGCTGCTCGAGTTGGACAGCTTCCTCGCCGCCATCACCGGGCCCTGGAAGACCGCGCGCGAGAATGTGTTCCTGTACGTGTAACGCTGCTTCTGCCGGATCCGGCAGACGATGAAGATCGCGAGGAACACGACGACCGTCACGCCCAGTATCGCGCCGCTCGCTATTATGCTCGGCCTCATCCTCGACAGCGCCTTCCGCTCGTCCTCGGCGTCCGCGCGGCTCGCCGTCTCGTCGCCAATCGTTCTTATCTCGATCGTGGTCGGCGCCTCTCTCGCAATCTCCTCCACGTAGCCGGCGCGAAGCTCGCTGGAGCGGTCTTCCGGCGGAACGGTCTTCCTCTCCCCGATCAGCATCGTGCTCGTGTTGTCGTCGCCGGTCGGAAGGCTCGCCTTTGACTCCTCGCTTTTCATCTCCTCCTCGGTCTCGAACTGCTGTTGCAGGTCCTTCGCGAACGCGCCGAACGGCGTCAGCAAATTGACGATCGTTCGATCGGAATTTTCCGGCCTGTACTTATTTTCAGAGGACGCCGTGCCGATCGACGCGTCCCTGTCGCGCTCAGCGAGGTCGAGGAGTCGCGATATATTTGCCTCGTCCTTGTCGAGGAACGGATTGTGCAGGTAGCTCATGATGTCCCTGAACTGATTCGTCGGCCTTTCCACTTCCTGCTTCGCGCTATCCTTCTCCAGGGCTTTTATACGCGCGCCGAAATGCTCGTGAGAGTCCTTCGGGAACGGTACTTCACCCTTGTTCGTATTTGAGGCTTCCAAGATCGGCGGATTTCTGGACGCTTTGAGCCGCGACACCTCCGTCAAATGCACCCTGCTGGAGCCGCGCTGGCGCAGCGCGATCAGCTCCTCCACGCTCATGTTCCGCGATTTCAGCAGCCGCTCCAGCCGCCTGCCGGCCGAGCCGGACGCGAACAGCTCGAAGATCTCCGCGCGCGCCTCCGGCTCGATCTCGGAGACGACGTCCTCGTAGCGTCTGCTGCTGCTGCTGCTCGCGTGCTCCTCGCGGCTTCGCGGCTTCTCCCTCGCCGATTGCTCCACCCGATGATACTCGCTCGAGTGATTTTTCTCGCGCGGCATCTCCTTTCTATCGTCAGCCGAGCTCGCGTGGCTCTCGCTCGCTCTCGAGTCGGCCGCCATCGCGTCGCGTCCAGCGTCGTCCGCGGGATGGTCGACCGGAGGAGCGTCGTTCTGATACTCGGCCTCGACGAAGCCGTTGTAATCCTCCGCGGAGGGCTCGCCGGTGGGAACCGATCGATCGCCATTCCGAATGACCTTTCCGTTCGCTCCTTCAGCGTTCTCACGGTCTTTCGTCAGCTCGACCCGCACCGTGGGATTGAGGATCCGCTCGATGCTGAGAGTGGACTCGGTGTCGCGCGGGCCGACCGTTTCGCCCGGCGGCTCCTCCGACCAGCTCGACGCCGTCGGGCTCTTGCCCTTCTTCGTGAAGTCCGTGAAGTCCGAGAACTCCATGATCTCGTCCTCGTCGAGAGCGCCGAGCTTCGTCGCGCGGTCGCCCGTCGACTCGGCGTTGCCGTCGTCGTTCGACAGATACTCCACGGAGCTCATCGCGTCCGGCGGCGACGCCGGTGTCGTAATCGTCACCGTCGTGACGATCGCAGGAGTGGTCGCGCGCAGCCGCGGGAAATCGCGCGCCGATTGCGTCCTCCTTTCGACATTCTTCGGCTCATCTTTCACGTTAGCCGCGTCGTTCGCGGAAATCTCGTCGTAACTCTCGGACGTGTTCCGCAGGACAGCCGTCGTTTTAAAGATCGAGTTGTCCGGACCGCTCGAAGTCGCCACTGTTCTTGCCGTGGTGCTTCCGGGCGCCGTGGACGTTTGTTGCGCGGGTCTCCAGGGCAGCGTCGCCGTCGCGGCGAGCTTCATCAGCGAGTTCGACATCACCCTCGACATCTCCTCGACGTATTCGTCGGACTCGTCGGCCATCCGCGACTTGAGCGCGTTGATCACGTCGGCTTTGCCCTTCAGCAGGTCGCTCAGGGTGAGATTCTTGCGCTGCAGGATCTCCAACAGGCTCAGGCCCTCCTGCTGCTGCATCTTCAGCAGCGACTTCAGCTCGAGCGCGTTCTTCCGCTCGCCGTCGTCGGACGACTGCGTCGTCGTCGGCGGGTCCTCGCTCTGCCTTTGCGACGCAAGTTTCGCGGGGTCTCTCGGTTCCTCGTTCTCTTCGTCGGAGGCTTCGTTCGCCAGAGCGAACTCGTAGTTCTGCGGTGGCCTTCTCTTGCGCGGGCGCGGCCGCAGGTACTCCTCGTCGTTGAACTCGTGCTCGTATTCGTCGGGACGCGCCTGGAAGGCCTCGCGATACCGCGACGTCACCTCGTCGTTCAGCGTGTCGCTCGCGCGGTCGCGATCGCGCATTCCGTCGCTGCTCGCCGCGCTCTCGATCGTCTCCTCGCGGGGCGTCTTCGACGGACGACGTCTCCTGCGCGCATAATTTTCGTCCGGATTGCCGTAGTCGCGGCTCCGCAGGTACGCCGCCGCCTCGTAATCGTAGTCGTCCGCGGCAGCTGCTTGTCCGCCCGGATTCTCTCGCGGGCGATTCGGCCGATTAGGCGAGTAGCGATGCTTGAGCGGTCGCCGACTCGTCGCGGGGAAGTCCTCGACATCGTCGACCGCGTCCCTCGAGTAGGACCGGTAGTGAGAGAACGGCAGCAGCGGCACGGAATCACCGTCGCGCCACTTCGGCTCGAGTGCCTCGCCGTTACTCCTCCACTTGCCTACGGGCTCACCTGACCGCTCGCGGTCCTCCGCGATCCTTCGCGACATTTCCACGTCGTCGAACTGTCCGTGCAGCTCCGTCTGAAAGGAATTCATTCATGATGATTCTAGGAGCTCTTCGATAATCAAACGATAAAGGACTCTTTCGATTAGATTGTTCTCTTGCGAATTTATCTGATCCAAAACAAATTTGACTTCCTTTCATTTAACTATTTATGAAAAAAGTCGACGCACGCCTTCTCAAGTGAAAGTTTACGCGTGTGTTGATGAAGAAGCAGAAAAATGATAACAATATCGCAGCAGAAGAAAAAAATTTAGAATTCTTTTATCAAAATCGTTGATTCTTTCATCAAATGTGATAAGCTTCTAAATATTAACGAAAAATAAAATTTCTTTTCGATCAAATAGGCGGAAAAATATTTGAATATTGAAATTTATATTTATGTGATGCAGAAAAATGTTATTCGCAGGACTGATTATCGAAATTATCAGTTTTGTTTTATTAATTATCATGTTGAAATAACGTTTCATCGTGGGAATGTTACTTTTTGTATTGGAAAGGGTTTCGGACTCATTTGAGAAGCTAATCCGTTACTTCGTGAATTCTGAAATTGAATGAAGCACGACGCGTTCGGCATTTATTGAAATCGTTCGCCGGGATGAAGTTAAACTTCGGTAAATTACGATTCGTCACGGGTCACGCGGAAAATCGTTGTTAAACGAGGCGTGCGGTCGTGAATAACAGTAAAGGCCAATGACCATAATGATAGAAAGTATTGTAATGATAGCAAGTATTGAAATGTTCGTAACGCTTTATAGATACCGTTACGGAATGTTTATATAAATTGCGAAGCACTGTTCGCAAATTTGCCAATAAAATCACGCCATTCTCGGTCTACGCTATAATTCTGGAGTTTTACAAAAAAAAAAAAAATGAAGAATAAATCCATTTATTCGCACCTTTGATAATCAATTAGCGAAAATTTTTAGATCGAAGAGAAATCGAAGCGATGCTTCGTGGAACGCTTTTCTATTTGCCGCTTTTTTTGTTTGTTTGTTGAAAATACGCGTTTTATGACACGAATGTACTGCGGAAGCACGCGCCGCGAGCACTGCATCTTGCGCGCGTATCTTTCGATTATTCGTGAGGATCTTCTTCAAGCGGCACGTTGAAAGAAGATTCGGCGATTTCTCGCTTTTACTTTCGCAAGCCGGACGCGCGTGCGTGAGAACGTGCGAAATAAGGGAACCGCGCGCGCGATTCTTCGCTCGAAGACGTTTTTCCGCTCTCTTTTCTGCGAAAACGAGCAATCTTCTTTGATCTAGATTAGCTTGCCGCTGGAATTGTGTTACATAAATTAAAAAATTCATTTACTTATAACAAATAAAATTATAAAATTAAATTTGAAAAAATTAATTCCTGCACATATTGATTCATTTTCACTTGGAATAATCGAAAAGATTGCTTTCGTTTACTCGTAAACGTAAAAAAAAAAAATATTTCGTTTCGTGACTAATATCGAAACGCCGCTAAAATATTGGCTCATTAGACGCAAATGACGCGCGATAGATCGAACAGCGAATTATCGTGGTATCTAGCGAAGAGGGCGTTATCTCAATTGCTTCATTATCCTTATTAAAGCATTTCGTAATGTTATTGATGCAAAGTTCCATGCTTTCGCGGATGATTTTCACTTTGCTTTCTCGCAGCGAAAAAGACCGCGCGCGCGTGCGTGCGTGCGTTCCCATTTTTCCACGGTCCAAACTCGCGTATTCGCGAACCACGTGGGAAATCATTCGCGATTATTCCCTCGCGAATAACGGAAATCACCTTACGCGATTCGCCGTACCTCACTCGCGATCTGACAATTGAGGTAATAGCATTTCTTTTGCATACATTGTTTTTCACACCAGCATTCCAGCGTAATTTCTCGCGCGCATTTATCCGATCATTTCTTGTCCGTACAAGTTTGTCGAGTTTAGAATATATTTTAAGCTCCATTTATTCAATTTATTTTTGTGCCTAGTCTTGTTAAAAAAACTTGTCTCGGAACGGTGACTCCTGCTTTCAGCTACAACCCCCCCCCTCCTCTTTCTCTCTCTCTTCTCTCTCTCTTTCTCTTTAGCGAACGCCACGCTCGCCGGATGCCGCGAATTTCGCTCTTCGCATACTGAGCCCTTATGATTTGACGACGAAATCCGCGACAAAACGCTGGTAAAGTCTCGAACTTTCTGCGCGCGGCGCCAGCTTTCTCTTTCTCTCGCAGTGCACGCGCGCGAGTTTTCTCGTCGTGCGGGCGCGTTAGATCTCGCGGCCAGGCGCATCGGCGAAAAATTCCGCAGGAGGAAAAGCGTTCCGGCAGAGCGGTCTCGCAGCTGATTTCGATATATCGTAGGATATAATGGCAGTTGCGAGAACACGAATGGATATACAAGGTTACCCAGAAATCGCGCACTTTCCCTGGACTGTAAACCGCGCAAGCAGAAAAGAATGGTAGTGAAACGGGGAACGTTTCCACGTTGAAGTAGTTTCGAAGTGAATTTCGCGTTGTAGGGAATCTCGAAAATTAATTTCGACAATCCAAGTTTTAGAAAAGGATCTTATTTCGCAAGCATTTCTATTAGGAATTTTAAACAGATACGATGGAAAACGGCGTGCAATTAAATTTTTATTAAAGTTAAACTGGCTTTAATCCGTTAATTGTTAATAAAAATTAGGCGAAAAATATTTGAACAGCTTACAGAAAGTTTATAGAGAGTAAAATTGTGATAAGGAATGATGTTTAATGCAGCTTAATAAAATACCGCAAAGCATATCAATTAATGATTATTTTTTTTGTAAAAAGCGTAACGCATTGTGAAAAAGCGTCCTGCCAAATTTGATCATCGCTGCACCGAAGACAAGAAAAAATCTTAACAGCCCGTACTTGACTCCATCCGTAACTTGAATCACTTGAGTTTAATGACACTTAATGAGCGCAATTACGGCGGAACTTGGACCTGTCACCCGCGAACGTCACGATTATTTCGTAATGGAGAAGTCGGATAGGATATGCGTGCGTACGTATCCCGATACGATTTAGAGTCCTTCGACATCGCGTGACGTATGTTATCGTAGTAGAAATGTCAGAATTTCGCAACGTACCAGTTTTCGCGAAAAATAACGACCGGTTATCAAAACGGTCAAAGGAACAACTTTCGGCTCGATAATCGATCGTTAATTATCTCACGGCCAAACCAAGAATTGTATCTATGAATTTAATTGATGATTTGACACCATTTTTTAATAAATTATGCATTTTAATTGTACCTAAAAAATTGCAATATGCAAAAAGGTTGCATATTGCAATAAGTATTAATTCTATAAACTATTGAGAAAACTTTAAAGTCTTTTTATTTGAAATTAATAGTTGGTTATATATTTAATTGCATCAACAATTGTTGATTATAAATAAAATGAAAATAATACAATAAAAAAATATGAACTATAAATTCAATAAATATTTTTTTAGAAGCTTTAAATAATATTAAAAGGTTTCAGGCTATAAAAAATTAAGTAACACATTTTTTAATTAAAAAACGCGTTTTTGATTTATTTTTTGATAATATATTTTTCTTTAATCTTTGATTTCGCGCGGATGTCGGATATAAAATTTCTGTGTACCTAAGCAGCGTTTTGCTTAATTGAAATATTCAGGCGTGCCGACGCAGGCTTGTTCGAAGCGCGGTGCTCATCGGGGCGAAAAGCATTGTGGTTACCTGATACTCGTAGCCGTCATTTCGTCCCGCAGCTTCCGGCTTCCTGGCGGGTTTGCCGTGGACCAGAACGTCGCGCGAGATGTCACACGCGAACGCGATCAGCGCAAGCACGGCGATCGCCTTCCGCATAGTTGCAGCGCGATCAGCAATCTCGACGCCTCCTCGTCCTCGCGGCACCGCGACCCTCTTCCGCGGCACTTCACCTCCTCGTTCCCCGCGATGAGATGCACGTAAATGACCGCGGCGCACAGAATAACGAAAATCGCGTTCTTCCGGTTGCACAAACTCAAGATCTCCCCCAAAACCATGCAGACGAGTGTGGCTTACCGAAATTTGCGGAATCACACATTGACAGAACGATACCGTGATTTTCTACTCGTTTTGCACCGCGTTTGTGGCACACCAAAATATTTGATCATCAATCCAGTCAGCTAGATTGTCAATTTTTTAATCCATTATTTATTTATCACTTTAATTCAATCTTGACAAAACAAACTCTGAACTCTGCCAAGTGCTGCCTTATCTTCACTCTCCGCTGTCTCGCATCCTTTGCTAACCCTCTCGCTCTATTTTTTTTTTTTATTTCCGAATCAAAGAAGCGGGCTTGCCGATTACCACGCGGGTACCTCGCGATCGGCGGATGCGTTCTCCATTTTCCGATCTGGCGAAAGAGTGCCGGAGTCGCGATCTCGCTCGTTTGTGACGCGGTAGGAAACTTTCGCGCTCTCTGCGCTCTCGCGGCAAATCGCCCCTGCGAACTGACGCCGCTTTTCTCCGCGCGCGCTCCTAAGTAAGTCGGTGAAACTCGAGAGGAGACTCCTCCACCGAGTCCGTCTACTACTACTATTAACTATCTCGCGGCCGTCCGCTCTCGACGGGACGAGTGTTCCTCGGAGACGAATCCCGCGGACGGATTCGACGGGCGGATAAACGCGCCATGTATTTGGCTATCGCTGTCCAAATTTGAACATCACTTGAAAAACACGCGCGTCATTAGCATTTTGAAGAAAGAAAAATGTGATGCTAGAGAAAGTAGCAGTTCTACAAATTATTAAGTAAAATAAATACTAGAGAAAAGAATGAGATAAGAAATTTTGTCAAAATAAAATATTAAACAATTGAAAATTATTCTTTTTTTCGTAAAGCACGGCGAATCCTTGATTTTAAAATTTATTACCTGGTTTTATCGGAGACACACAGTCGTGAAACTTTATGCGAAATGTTCAGTGTACATCTTGTTCATTAAAATCACGACGTAGGGATTTTTTTCTCATATGACGATTAATCGTTATTGGTATGCGAAGAAACGCAATTGTGCGTGCACGCGATGCAGTCGTTAGAAATTAATATGTCGCTAATTTATTTGCTAGGATCGATTATTCGCGCATTTATCACGTTTGGTTGTTCAACATCCGCGGTAGCGTCGTGACTATATGAGAAAGAAGGAGGAGGAAGTCGTTAGGCACTCGGAGCGAAAACCCTGTTAACGCAAATACTGCGTGCATATATCTGTCACGGCGAACCCTTAATTGCGATGAAACCCGCGTTTGCTTCGCGGATGTTCTTTTACGCTTGGAAACATGGCTGTAAACTGTGCGGAGGATCGCACACGATGTAAGTTAATGATTATTTTTCCAATCGTTGCCAAATTATTTACATTGTTAAAAAAATTGCTACGTAAATTATATTACCAAACATATGCATTTCGCATGAATATTAATTATAAGGATGAGTATTTTGCTGGAAATCTGAAAATAAAAAGCGGAAGAAATCGCATTGTTTGCCACACATCGTGCAGTATGTATCTTTATAGCATATATGTCGCGAATTACGGGCATAAAATAGAAAACTGTGTCAATCGTTTACGCGTAAACAACAATAGCTCGTGACGAGACTATGCAAACTATCTTTTTACGCGTAATTTACGTCGATAACGCTTATGATAGTCGTGATTTCTCCTCCTTTCTCTCCTTTTTTCAAGTGAAACGTTTATCCACGAAGAAGCTCAGCGTAATTTGCGATAATTTCCTGAAAATTATGACATTATCGTATCCTGTAAACAATATGTTTAATGTCAACAAAGATTCGGTCTTCACATCAATGATAATGATCACATTCTCTCCTTTTCTGTCTAACGTTTTGCACTCTTAATTCGCCATATTTATTTTTATATTTTTACATCAAAGTAGCAAGGAACTTTTCTTTTATATCTCACGTTATTATTACGTGAGAAAATGTCAAGAGGATTATGTAAACGTAAGAAATATCGCATTGATTAGTAACGAGATGCTTTTGTTCCCGCAAAGAGGACGCATGCGAATGCGTTATTTCCCGTGAAAAGTATGTATCGATTTCCACAATAGATAGTTATAAGACGCGGTAACACATAACGCAGCCTAATAAAATTAACGAGGATGAGACCGACGATTGTCACGAGTTCGCCGCTAATGAACGGACGGAAAAAGGACAGCGAGTAAAATGACAATAACGAGAACGGTAATGACGATGCGGTTCTCTCGCGATTCGCCGGAGTGCAGATAGGCATCGACGAGCGACGGCATTGTCTTGAGTCTGTTTTAGACGATCTGTAATACGCGACGGAAGACACCATTTTTTTTATATAAAAAAATATAAATCGCGCGATTAAGAAAAAATATATTTCTTCACAAATATTTATAGCAGCAGAATCAAATGCATAAAGATGGATAATCTGACGTATTTTTTAAAGCGCGGCGTCGTAATTAATGATAAATTAAGAAAATAAAATTTTAAACAAGAGAAGCCTCGCGACACGTGATCTGCATTCGTTCGAAATATAGAACGCGGCAAATGAAGCGGAAATCAGATCTGTAATTATAAGTTATTTGAAACAGGTTTTACTACTAGAGATAGACGCACACTCTTCGAGCGCATGTGAGAAGGTCGCGCGATGAATCGGAGATCGTGAGATCTTCTCGGTGCGCACTTTCTACGCGATAAACGAGCGTGCCGTAGCGAAGGGACCGACCGGCCTCGAACGCGTTTCATGCTGAAAATAATAGCGATCGCCTTAGTTACCGCGCATCTAATGGAACCTCGTGTTCTCTTAACCCACAAGGATGATATTAGTGCGAGCGACGGGGTAAAATCTGCGATACTTTCCAATCCGACGTTATGAGGAAATATAATGCACTGGAAGAATCTTTCTCTTATTAAGACATTCCTTATTTCGGGCTTAAATTCATCTTTACATTGCGAAGCTCTCATTGTCGTGGGATATCTTTATATTATCTTCTTAAAAATGAATATTTATGAATATTTATTGTCGATTGTCCGTCTCGTTTATCAATTTTTAAATAGAAATTGTGCTTTTTAGTGAAATATCTAATTTCTACAAATAAGAAATTTATTTACAAGGAGAAGATATTTGTATTCTTAAGTTAACGATGGACGTCCGAGAAAACCATTATTGAATCAAGTAATTTATATTCTTATCTTTGTCTCCTTATCTAGGTATATAAATGACACATCCAGACGCTGTACGTACGTACTGAAGTCGCACGATGATTAATGATAATTGCAAAACGCTGCATTGGCAGCGCGAGATTTCTAATGCGGGAATCCGCGCGTGTTCCTGTCCCGGTTAACTATATTGCACTCCATTGCAGACGTTTGTTCTATTATGAGAATTAATACATATATGAATTATTAAATGTGTATTGTACTTGTTAAAGATTTCCCACTGCGAGAGAGAACTCGAGTGATCTTATATAAGTTAAGTCTTTATAAATTAAGATTATTATGCAAGACGATATTTTTCTTAACAAAATCCTTGTGTTTCGTTTATTTAATATCTTTCTTGAATGATTGTTTAACGTTGATTCAACAATATGCGTTTTATACATTTTTGGAAATTTAAAAGTTTTTAATTGAATCCAAGAAGTTTGAAAATTTACATGTTAAATCTCGCTAATTTTATATTTTCCTGTCAACGATATAGCCGCGGCGTTTTACTGCTGAACGCAGGTGCCGTGCGCTGCGAAAGACACGCGTGATCGCTTTCGCAGCATGCGGCGCGTATGCAGATACCGAAGCAGATATTTTGTCGAGGAAAAGGCGGCTCTTTTCACGAGCGAAAATGCCAGGGAACGCGCTCCGCTGCTCTCGACGATATCCCTTGCTACTGTATCTCTGCTCGCAAACCATGGAGCTCGCAAGAGAGCCGGCGTTGCTTTGCAAATGAGATACAGCGTGTGCACTTTCACACGGACTCGGACTTTCATGCGATTGTAACGAATCCGCGGTCGGCGCGTCATTATATTTCGTGTATTGATTGCGAATATTGAGTATCAAGTGTTTTCACACACCGCGAATTACGTTAATAATAATGTCGAAGTCTCATACGAAATCTCGTACGAATCTCATTGTCAGAGGCGGAAGCGTTCAACGCGAAATAGAGTTGCGCGAAGATTATTGGCCGTTCGATCGTTTCCGCATAATTCCGTGTGAAAAAAGAAAAATAATATAAAATGCAACTCTGCATTAAAGTTGTTGCAACACTGAATTGCGAAATGTTTCGACAGCGAAATTTTATGGTTTCATCAAATTCTTTTTCTGTATAATATTATTTGCTTATTAATTCTATTTTTTTGTAAAGAAAAAAATAATATAAAATGCAATTCTGCCTTAAAGTTGTTGCAATACTGAAGTGCGAAGTGTTTCAACAGCGAGACTTCATCCATTTTTTTTCTGTACTATTTTGTTATTAATTCCAATTATTTTTTACACCGTGTTTTATTATTTGCAAGCGCGAATAATTTCCTGCAGTTATGTAAAATATATTTCACTTTAAAATGAACTGTAATATCTGAAATATTAGGTATTATATTATGAACGCGGTTATCAGCTGGCTGTGAAATGCTTTTTAGCGTGAGAGGCGATGATTAAAGCGGTAAGAATGCACGATTTTCCACGTTTATCGCGAAGAATGCTTCTCACTGAAATTTCACTTCTATCTGTTGTTACGGCACGATTAATCTATCTATTGATTATCTTTTCGCACTTTTTGTGCGATGTAACAGATCATAACGGTTCACCGAACGTATTATGGCTTGCGGTATCGCACTGAGAAACTACGCACGGGAATCGGCGAGTCTGTTGCTATTGAATCTAAATATTTCACGCAAGGAGTCATTGACTTTTTCACGAATCAATTTCGCGTTGATCTTTATCGCCTAATCTTAGATGATATACAACTCGTGAGAGAAATCGAGACGAAAATCAAACGCGTATAATCGTAAAATTAATTCTCTTTCGAATGAAAAAGTTTACTCTTCAATTAAATTCATGTGAGAAAAAGTAGTAGATGTTGTTGTGCGTTGCAAAACTTTCTATAGCTAATATAATCTTCATCTCAGTTTTTATATTTATTTTATGTTCACACAATATTACAATTCGACGCAGAATTGATCTCCTTTCCTTTTGTTTCATTTTTTTTTCTTAAATGTAAATTCGTCACGATTCGAAAACAAGTTCTCCAATTTTGTTCTCGAGAACTAGATCGCCTAAAATAAGTTTAACGGCAAAAAAAAGAAAAAAATAATAAGAGCCTATGTCTCGCGAACAATGAGCGATCAGGCGTCATTAGCCTGGCACGGTTTTACTGGAATTAATTTGTTTTAAGAGGAAGAGCTCGATCACGCAACTCGGCACAATGGTCGACGGCGTGCACGCGGGTTTCCTACACGGACGATGAAATCTCGGCGAACGAGAGTAACACGCGATCTCTCACGTGGACGACGAGACGCGTTCGGCAGTGAGAAGCGCGCGTTTCTCCGGACGCGAAGAGAGAGAGAAAGTCCGCGGACGCCCGCGCGGTAATAACTGCGGCAATGAATCTTCTTTTACGTTCATTTCCGGAATTCTGGGTCAAGTTCTTGCCCGCCTCCGAAAAGCAGCCGCTCGCCCGCGGCGGAGTTAACAATGTTCTTCCTCAATCGCCCCGAAGGCGAAAGTCTGACGTTTCACGCTCCGCGGGTTGACGCGGATGCACACGCGTTTGTCGTAACGGCATCTCTGCGGCCGACGGATTTCACTTTGCGTCCGAATCCGGCGGTATTCAATCAACAACTTCTCAAATTTTTCGCGATTTAATCGATTCTGTTGTTGACTTTTTATTTTCAAATTTATGTCCTTTCTAAACTTAATTTATTTTCTTCAATCGTGTTTCTCTAACATTTTCTAATGTATTCTAATATATTCTAATAATTAAAATTCCTTGAATTTCAATATTTGCGTCAGCAATTCTTTCAGTTTTACTTCTCTTTTTGTTATATTTATCTGATAACTTTGACGATTTTTCGAAGCTGTTTGAAAAACACGTGTTCCGACTCTCGCTATTCTTTATTCGTGTTTTTTTTTTATAATTCTTAATGCGACGATACATTTCGCACGATTTAATCGTCCGACTCCATCAATTTTATTAATAAATTTAACAGCAAAAATTTGAACACTGGAGATTGAAAATGTGTTAATATTGAAAAATTTGTTTTGTTGTCATTTAAGTTCTTCAAACTGGAAAAGCGCTACGCGTCGATGAATGACATTTCGATGAATTTTTTCAGTTGGGCAGTTTCCACGGTGATGACGAGGCAGAACTTGGTTCCGAGCCCGGACGGCTCGCGCATGATCCACGCTTTAATCCCGATGTGGGATATGTGCAATCACGAGAACGGCAGGGTAAGTTATATATACGGATAATGAGGCCGTTTATCCGCGTAATGGTGCCTCGAGTGGATGATATTGATGCGTTCTCTGCCATTGCTGTAGATCACGACGGATTTCAACTCGACGTCGGATCACTGCGAGTGCTACGCGTTGAGGGACTTCAAGAAAGGGGAGCAAATATTTATAAGCTACGGTCCGAGGACAAATTCCGACTTCTTCGTGCACTCGGGCTTCGTCCAAATGGATAACGACCAAGTATGCTTTTGAATTTTCGAAGAGAAGATTAGACTTAGTCAAAGTGGAGGCTGTAAGAGAATAATTGTGGCGTCTAATTACAACTGAGATCGACGTTAATTTTTTGTCGGGAAATCAAGTCGAGGTTAATTAAGAGCGAACGGACGGACGCGATGCGACACTGCTGACAAAGATTTGATTCGCAGGACGGCTTTAAACTTCGGCTCGGCATCAGCAAGGCGGACTCCCTGCAGAAGGAGCGGATAGAGCTCTTGGGCAAATTGGATTTGCCGTCGGTCGGGGAATTCTTGCTGAAACCAGGCACGGAGCCCATCTCCGATACGCTATTAGCCTTCCTGCGAGTGTTCAGTATGCGAAAAACCGAGCTGGCGCACTGGCTACGCTCGGACAAGGTCTTCGACCTGAAGCATATGGACTGCGCGCTGGAGACGGTCGTCGAGGAGAACGTGAGGAAATTTTTGCTGGCCAGGCTGCAGCTTCTAATCGCGAATTATCCGACGACACTGAAGGTGAAAGCGAGGCCCGATTTTGCATCGTTACTCCGCTTTCGATTGCGCGCTGTTATTAGTAACATCTCCTTCTTCTTCCGCAGGAGGATTTGGAATTACTGGAGACCACGTTACCGCAGGTGAAGAAAATGACCGTGCAACTGAGGGTGACGGAAAAGAGGATTCTTCTGGGCGCTCTTGAATACGTGGAGCAGTGGATAAAAGCTTGAGATAATCGCTCGTGTCTCGGCGGGGGAGATCGAACACAATTTTAACGCTCTAAGAGCATCTCGAGAGAAATCAATTTTATTTTTACAATATTTCTGAGAACGGCGATTTCGAGTATAAAAAGTAAAATATAAAAGCGGACGAATTATACATAATAAAAAGCGTACATCTATTGTCTATCGGTATACTTTTAACGCTCGGCGTTGTGTACGCGTACTAATTATAGGAAACATTTGTAAAATACTGAGAAAAATCATACGAACGTTCAACGATTATATGTCTACGTAAGTGATATATGATGTAATTGTACAATAATTGCGTGCTCAGTAAATATCGTAATTTCTGTTTTCGTGAGATGGAGACTTTTAGCTTTTTCGCAATCGCTGCTTTTTTTAAATTATATACGAATCAAACGTCGATCAAGCGGATTCTGATCTACCACGAGAATTGACTGCTGCTTTTACTCGCTGCTTTTGATATATATAACGTAACAAAAGTGATACCTATACAGAGAAGAATATTAATGTTAATGAA